TTTGACATGATATCGGCTAGCTCATTACCTCTAATACCTGAGTGACCCGGTAATCACAAAAATTGTATCTTACATCCTACACTCTCCAATGTTTTTATATGCCTAACTGTGTCTGTGACTAATGAGGTAGTTGAGAATGAATTTTTAATAGCTTTAAGAGCAGCTTCTGAATCTGTACAAATATAAATTTGCTGTTTATTGCAGTTGAGACTACAAGCGGCACGATTTATTGCAAACAGTTGTAAATAACATGTCTAACTAAATAACTAATGGGGTCCATTAGTAAATAACCTGTTTTGGTGGGCAATTGTAAATGACCTTTTCGTTTAGTCTGGGGACTTGGTTATTTACACTCGTGAATTAAATTTTATTAAAACAAAACCCAGTACTGGATATAGACTTTCTGAGGGTGTTTAACTGTCGTTGGGAATTTGATAACCTGATGCTTTTGTGACACTGAGTGAGAAGAAATAATAAGAATATATTTATATGAAATATGGGACTGAGTAAATACACTTTGAATGAATTGACTCACCTCAATAAACGATTTCAGACAAATTTCATCTTTTGAATGTTGGGTAAGGCTGTTGTTTTTTCCTCTAACTTTATTGGACTACTAGAGGAGTGCTTGTTAAGAGCTGTTCATTCACGGCATTGCCCTTCTCAAATTTATTATTATCGACAAGTGACACGAGCTATAGTATTTCTATGAATTCCAGCTAAATTATCATTAGAACATTATTTTTATTAATATATTTCGTTTATCCTTAAAAAACAAACTATTATTACTTTAAGTAATGTTGATACTTTTAGTTTTGTAACTGCTTATGTTAAAACTAATGTTAAATTTTAAGTTTATATTACAATATTCTTTTTTTAAATTTCTAGTTGTTGCTACTTTTCTAATTTGTGAAATTAAATATCTATACAACCGATAAAATAAAATTGTCTGTGAAGTGTAGAGCTTCTATAAGATGTGTTGGTATTCCTTATCTGGAAGGTGCATACAAATATGACGGTTCATTTTTACTATGCCTGCTGTGAAAGCTATGTGTCGTAAATTTGGAAAGAATGTCCACCCAGAGCTTCCAAATTCATGTAGCTATTGGGTCGTTTCATATGAAATGTCAGTTTTCACAGGACAGGTTATTTAGTACAACAAATTTATAAAATCAAAACATTTTTACTCAAAGTATTTACCCTCATTTTCCCAAATGTGTTATCAATTTTTCAATCCCAGAACTGAAAAATTCAAGGTTTTGTGAAGAAATGAAGTCAGCAAATGCATTTTTGACCTGAAAATCAAACTTTCACTTTTAAGGTAGTTGTCCAAATTTCTGAACAGATCGAAATCTACAGGAGATAAGTCTAGTGAATATGGTGGGTATGGAAGGACTTTTTAACACAGCTTGTTTAGTTTCTTCACTGTCTGTCGTGAAACATGAGGTGTGAAGTTGTTTTGTAAAGATTCCTTTCAAGATTTAATTATAAATTACCAGTTTGGTGGCAATAGTAAATATTCCTTCCGTTTTGTCAGGGGACTAGGTTATTTACACTCGTGAATTTAATTTTCTTAAAACAAAACCTGCACTGGATATAGACTTTTGAGAATGTTCAACTGTTGTTGGGAATTTGGGAACCTAATGCTTTTTATTTTAAATATTTTGTACTTTCAATTTATTGTTAAATTTCATCTGATGTAATATAAATAATGTGTAAGGGCTAAAATGACCAGTAAGAGGTTGAAGAGCCCGCCACTGTTACAAATAAACAATATTGTACTGAACAATCTTTGCGAAAAAGCTCATAGTTATTGAGATATTCTCAAAAAAACTAAAATAATATCAGTTTTCTGTCCATCTCCCTCTCTCCCCGTCAAAACCTGACGTGGGATCCTTTGGGACTTTTTACCAATTATTATGGAGAGGATAATAAACAATTTCTTACAAGTTTTATCATTATTTTTTGAATATTTGAGATCAATCTTTAATTTTACTGGACGCTTGGAGCAAGTGAGGATGAGCTCCTCCATCTCCACGTGAACAGAGAAAGCAGAGTGACTTATTTCTAAAATTATTTTTTTAAATTATAGTGTCAGATACCGGACACTAGCCAGAAGTGAGTAGCTGAGGCAAGGAAAGTTACACAACAAAAATAGATGCAAGTTGTCCTAATTAATATACGTCTCTTATAATCAATCGATTGAAATAAACTTAAAAGAAACTTATGAATTAAAAAAAACAACTAATCAATGAATATTTTCTATATTAATTAATGTTAAAAGATGTTTGGTTGCAAGAGTAGCCAACTCAATAAGTCAAACTCTCTTTAAACAATTTAAACCTTAAAATTCTTATTAAGATTAACATTGTATTTGAAGGTCAAAAGTGTAATTTGACTTTTCTTATACTGGAATCACCTGACCAAATTATGGAGAAATATTTGTAGCAATGAAATAACATCTGCTCTGGGAAGAAGAAGAGGAACTTAAGACGAGCAGCAGCTGCTTCGAAGACCGGCTTCAGGTGGAAGAAGGAGGAAAAATGGAGAAAAGGAAAGGTGTGGGCTTGCGCACAGCCGTCACAAGTCTACACCTCTGTTTTCACAATAACAATTATAAATAATAAATGTTAAACAATTTTAATAAAATAGACCTGTACTGCCAGCAGTGGCATACTCATATACCCTGGGTGATACCCCACTGCTGCTACAATCCGTATTGCCTGAAAGGCAAGGCAGGGACTCAGTAAAAATAAAAAAAAATAACATAGCCAACAAAAAAATCATATGCAGTACACGGCAATTATTACGAGAAAATGTTTACAGTTCAATGATTGCGTCGATAGGGGATACTTTCCACGAAATTGGAAAATTGACAACATAAGGCTCCTTTACAAGGGAAGAGACAAGGACAAGCAATTAGCCAAGTCTTATAGGCCTATATGTCTCCTCCCTGTTATGAGCAAAGTGTTAGAGAACCTACTCCTGGTGAGCCTACGACCAGTCTTCTCAAGAGCGAGCCATCCACGGCAGTATGGATCCACTAAGGGTAGGGGAACTGTAGATGCCCTGCTGAGAGTGCGCAATGATGTTGAAAAGAAGGCGGAGAAGTATGTTATGCTCCTCCTGTTTGATATCACCTCCGCTTTCAACAGTGTTTGGTGGCCTTGCGTACTCAAGCAGTTGCAAAAGTATGAAGCTCCCAGCAACTTGTACGAGCTATTACGGAGCTATCTTCAGGACCCAACTTTAAAAATACGTGGTAACTTCTTCGAAGTTGAAGACTCCATGGAAAGAGGTTGTCCCCAGAGTTCTGTTCTAGGTCCTGCCCTATGGAATTTAGTCTTCAATGAGTTGTTGGGAGTACTGGAAGAGGAGGGGCTCCCCGCTACGGCTTATGTAGATGATCTGGCCGTTGTGGTAGCCTCGAACAGAAGAGCCCGACTGAAAGAAGAAGCTGAAAGGTGCGCCAACCTAGTAGAAGAGTGGTGCAAGAAGAAGAAATCAAGGATGGCGGCCGCCAAGACTCAGGCCATCCTCTTGAAAGGCACGACTGATAGGGCTCACCCTATAACAATGGTTATACAAGCATCAAGAATACGTCCAAGTGAGGTTGTCACCTATCTTGGGATTAGGATTGCAAGAAAGTTCAACGTGACACCTCACTTGGACTACTTGAGAAGTAGGGTATCCCTAACCCTTAACGGACTCAGTCGTATTTGGGGCGCATTTTGGGGCCTCAGGTACCCAGCAACTATGACCATTTATAAAGGTGTTATTTTGAGTATCCTGATGTATGCGTCCCCTGCCTGGAGCCAAAATCTCTCGCACAGACAGAAATGTAGGTTGGCCACGATTCAGCGGATGGCTCTGCTTCGAGTCTCCAAATCATTCAGGACGGTGTCTCATGAGGCTGTGCAGGTCTTGGCAGGAGGAATACCTCTCGACCTCCTGCTGAGAGAAGACTACTACCGGTATAAGATTAGGAGAGAATGCTTAGCGGCTATACCGGATTACATCTGAGTGAGAATAGGAGATGATCCAAGAAACTGGAAGAAGATCCTCCGGGAGGATACAGTAGAGGACTGGAACCGACGGTGGTTGACGACTCCCTAAGGAGCTACCCTAAGGAAGTACTTCAGTAACCGTCAGTTCGCGACTAGAAGCGACTTGGGTTCTCCCGGACCATTGGATCTCACAGATTCTCACGGGGCATGGGGGTTTCCGAGCAAAGCTCGTTCAGTATGGTATAAATATCGATCCCCTATGCCCAAGTTGTGGGGTACCGGAGACCGCTGAACATGTTGTACTTACCTGTACGGTCTATGAGTCACTGAGGGCGAAACTGTTGAAACAGGTCTCTTTGTCCTAACAGAGAGAGATCTTCCTCAACTTATGGCCAAAGACAAATACGTGCACTTCAAACATTTTATATACGGATGGAAAGAAGTTGTACTACCAACCCACTTCTTTTTGGGAAGAAGAAGAGAAGCTGAACCGGAGAGGCCACCAGAATAAGAAGAAAAGAAAACCAGATGCAAGTGAAGAGAAGAGCAAGCTGTGTGCACAGCTCAGAAAAATAATGTAATAGCCAAAAAATGCACCAGTGGGTTGTTATGTAACAGTAACATCCCACTGCTGCAAATACCCGTATTGCCTTCAGGCAGGGGAGGTTTGAAAAAAAAAAAGTTTAAAATTACTCCTTAATCAAATAAATAATTTTTAATTATTTTAGTCTAAATGAGCAGAGACCAATTAATAAGAATAAATATTAGTGGTATTTCCAATATATCCTAACCTAAAATATATTATAGATAAGAAGTCATTAATAATTATATAAAACAACATAAATAATTAGGATAATTTATATTAATATTATCAAATATAAGGTTCAAGCAAGAAAATTGAGACAAAAACATATTAAAAAAAATAAGTGTTGTGACAAAGTTACTAACATACAAGCTTCTGATATTTTATTTATTCTATAAGATGCATCTTACCACGGAATATAAGAAACTGTTATTTTGTTGTTTTCCAATACTCGCAGAATCAGAAAAACCTGAAAGTAGAAAAAAAATTAATAATAGTTTTATTTAAAGCGTAAACAGATTGATGTATTTATAATAATAAAAACTTAATATTAAAATTAGATCCAAATAGTCCTACTTTATTTTTATTTCACATTCAATGTTTCAGACCTTAAGTTATTTTAAAGAGAAGATATTTTAATGCAAAAATAAAATCATATAGGCTAAATTGCCCATATCTAAATACTTAATTGTCAATAACTTTTTTAAAAATAAATCTGGTGCATGCAACACACAACAATAACTTTCACTTACATCTCTACTTTGAATAGAAATTATTTTCTGGCAATGTTGAACAATTATAAAATTTTTGAAGTGCACTTTTGATGGAGCTATAGCTTAAAGTTTACAACTAACAAATCATTAAGATCACTAAAATAACAAAAACCTTATTAATTATATCAAAGGGAAACAATAAAAACCATGGTACTCCATCGGTTTTTGTAAACCACATAACTCCAGAATGTGAGCTGTATATATATGCCTCACAAGACCGTGGAGATTGGTTGGCTATAGTAGAGGAGGCCCGGGTTCTTGCAGGATCGTAGTGCCATTATAATAGTAATAATATATATGCCTAGAGAGATTTTGAGATATATCTCTTTGTTAAACCTATAAATGATTATGGATTCTAAGCCCATTTGTATTAAACTGTTATTTTCCATTGTAAAGTTTACTACAAAGAAATTACAAGATTTTCATTGCCAGTCATAGATACGTCAAAAGTTTTTACACCAATTTTGAGTGGATAACGTTTGGATTTCAAAAAGAGAAAATTCATCAAATTATTCACTAATTTAAATTTTTAAAAGGTTACACGATTTTTGGAATAAATAGACTTTGATACCTGTAATATGTATAATTAATTAATAAAAATACCTTTAGAACAAACGTAGGTGTGCTTTATTATTTATTACAAAATATACCATCTGTCTTGTCTTTATCTAACTAACATGTGTAATCGATTATATTATAATTTATAAATAGAGGTTACAGTCTTATACTACACCCTTCCCTTAATCCTCACAAAGTCTTTTCGGTGGCTTCACCAGGCGGCCCGATCTGGTGCGCATACCTTCACTAGTTGGAGATGCTTGCTGAGCTTGATCATTGGAAATTGACAGTCCTGGTAACAGCAGGGAAGAACCATTCTGCGGGTGACGCGGAGACTGTCTCTGCTCCTCCCGAAATAAAGCATTAGAGGGTTGGAGTAGAGGATCAGAATCAGAATCAGTTGGGTTGAGTAGAGGATCAGTGTTAGGTGTGGTGAGGCGTCTTAAGTGGGATGAGTTCCTTCTATATTCGTTGTCATATTGGTCTCTGACCAAGTATGATCTTGGTTCAGGGAGAACCTTTGTAATAGATCCTTCTTTCCATCGATCCTTCCATTTAACATAAACTGGTTGTCCCATCTTGAACTCCTCTGATTGACGAGAAGTTGAGTCATAATATTTTTTACTTTTGAATTTTAGAAGCTCCATTCTTTGGCGCACATCATCGTCTGGTATTTTGGGAATAAGAAGATCAATGCTTGCTGGCGCCCTGGTTCGCAGTCTTCGACCCATCAACAGTTGGCTTGGAGAATACTCGAGCCCAGAAAGGGGAGTTGTTCGGTATTCTAGAATGGCTTCATAAAGGTCTCCTCCTGAATAAGAGACTTTCTTTATCATTTTCTTCGCGACACCTATCCCTTACTCCGAGAGACCATTAGATCTAGGGTAGTGAGGACTAGATGTACAAATTTTAAATCCCCAATGTTTGGCAAAAGCTGTAATTTCTGCACTACTGAACGGGTTGTTATCACAACGTACAATTTCAGACGTGCCATGATTACTAAAAAGAATTTTTAGTTTTTTGATAATTTCAGTGGATGTTTTATTCTTGAGCGGTATAATATCCAACCATCTTGAGTAGTAATCTTCTACAGCCAGAAAAATTTTTGAATTACACTCGCCTATGTCCATACCAATAACTTGAAACGGAAATTTAGGAATTTCAGATGTTATAAGAGGTTCTTTAGGTTTATTGTTTTGGAAGGTTTGACACGTGGAACATGAATTTATGAAGTTTGTAATGTATTCGGACATGTTTGGCCAATACATAAGGCTCTTAATACGGGAAACGGTTTTGTTTATTCCAAGATGAGCTTTAGAATGAATTTGGCTTACGAAGTGACGTCGGAGACTCGGTGGTATAATAATTCTATCATTATAAAATAAAATTCCTTTATTTTTTGAAAGTTTTTCTCGGAGCCCATAAAAAACCTTTATTTCACGTTCCAAACACTTTTTATGAACTCCTTCCCAAGCATTCCTGATACAATTTCTAAGTTCACTGAAATCATCCCTGGTGGCTTCTTGCAAGATTTTTATATCCTCTGATGGCACCGGCAACAATTCTTCTAGTGTAATGGCATGAACCACCTGAGAAAAGTCTACGTCTTCCGGTCCTCTACGTCTTCGTACGGTCCTCTACGGACTACGTCTTCTTCAAGAAAGGCTCTTGATAGCATGTCCGCTATATACATTTTTGAGCTTGGTATATAGGATAATAAAAATTTATATTTTAATAGCTTCAGTTGCATTCTTTGGAGTCTTGAAGAATTTTTATACAGCTCCTCATTGAGCACTGCTAACAACGGTTTATGATCCGTAAAAATCTCAACATTATTATGACCGTAAATAAAGTGGTGAAATCTATTGACCGAGAAGCATAAGCTAAGCATCTCCTTCTCTATCTGACTGTAATTCTTTTCTGAGTCATTAAGACTTCTTGATGCAAAGACGACTGGTTGCCCGTTTTGGAGTAAACAGCTTCCAAGCCCATCCTTACTGGCATCACATTGGATCTCGATTTTAAGTGACGGATCAAACAGTTTGAGACTGGGCGCATTACAAACTAAAGATTTTATAATAGAGAAAGCTTGCTTCTGTGAATCAGACCATTGCCACTGAGCACTCTTTTTCAATAATTCCCTAAGAGGGGCGGTGACTTGTGAATAGGCTGGAATAAATTTGTTAAAAAAATTTATTGCACCTAAAAATCTTTGAATTTCCTTCGGAGACTGAGGTTCTTTAATATTAGAAATGGAGGATCCGGTTTGATTCCATCTGCTCCAAATACTAGTCCCAAATATTTAACTTCATTTAATTTAAACTGGAGTTTCTTGCTATTAAATTTAATGTTGGACTGTCTGGCCCTTTTTATAACCTCTTCCAAACTTTTAGCATGTTCAATTTCTGTTCGGCCCGAAACTATTATGTCATCGAACATTATTTGCACTCCCTCTATGTCTCCAAATATTTTAGTATTTTCCCTTTGAAATATCTCCGGAATATTAGACAAACCGTAGGGCACTCTTAGAAATCGATATCGACCAAATGGGGTATTCATAGTGCATAAACGACTCGAATCCTCATCTAGAGGAAACTGAAGGAACCCTTCCTTCATATCGAGCACAGTAAACCATTTTTTCCCACTAAGGTTAGCAGTTAGTTCTTCTTGAGTAGGTATGCTATAATGTTCCCTTTTTATGTATTTATTCAATGGAATGGGATTCAAACACAGCCGAATAGATCCATCTTTCTTTTCAACTACCACTATGTCATGAACCCAATCTGTAGGCTCTTCTACTGGTGTTATTACTCCTAAGTCCACTAACCTATTGATTTCTTTTTTAAGTTTAGATTTGAGAGAGGCTGGAAGTCTCCTCGCTGGCCTCACAGTAGGTACCGCGTCTTTGCTAAGCGTAATCTTAACTTCATAGGGAATTTTACCCAGACCAGTAAAAACATCCTTGTTATTTTGAATAAATTCTGGTTTTCCATCTTCTAAATTTTTAATAGTCAAATCATCAACTTTAGATAAATTATAAGCTCGTTTAATTAGCCCCAATTTTTCACACGTTACTGCACCAAGTATAGGAGATGAGTCACAATTCATTACTACAAATTCAATGTCCCAATTCATTACTACAAATTCAATGTCACAATTCTTCTTTTTATAATTAGCCTCTAAAATAGTTTTTCCCAAAGGTTTAGAGATAAAGCCTCCAAATGACTTAACCTTCATTGAAGTTTTAGTCAATTTACCATCAAGTTCTATTTTATTCCAAATTTTACTGGGCAAAATATTAATATCACTAGCCGTATCCAGCTTAAAAAGTACGGGTACATTATTAATATAAATATATTTCTTCCATAGATCTGACTTAATAGCATTCACATCAGTAATAACGTTACAATCAAACATTGACTCGGACGATGAGTCTTCTTCAACCTTATTCACTGCAGTTCTCTTTTTTCGTGAGATGCACCCGATTTTAAAATGACCTAACCTCTCACATAAAAAACATTTTTTACCAAATGCTGGGCAATCTCTTGGTCCGTGAGTGGTACGGCATTTTTTACATTTATATTCAGTCTCTTTATCAGTCTTAGTACGTCTGGATGTAAAAGGTTTGTTTTTATTAACCATATTGGTATAGTTAACATTAACATCACCTAGCGTGCCTTCTCCAACCATTTCCTTGCTATAAGATTGACTTATTTCTGCTGCTCGACAAATTTGCGTCACCTCCTGCAATGTTAGCGTTTTGGTCTCCTTAATCAATACTTTTTGAACTTCTGGGGCACTATATGGTCAATTAGCATTCTATCCGCGAATGAAGTTTTACAATCGGCTTTAGAGCACACGAAATTGCAGTCGAGTGCTTGACTTTTTAGCTCAGTTAAATAATTATCAAATGTTTGTCCTGGGGAATGTTTTATCTTATTGAGTTTAAAGGACTCCATTGCCAAATTTACTTTAGGAATACAATACTCATCAAATAATTTTAAAACAGCTTCTAAAGTATCTTTCTTACCATGGAATGTAAAATGTATTTCTATGGCTTCCTCACCCATTTGTGTTAATAGAAGAGCTATTTTCAATTCCTCATCTGTTGATTTATACTTCTCTATAGCCTTTAAAT